ATGTAATGCATTTGCCGAGCTTTAACAAAAAAAAAAAAAAAAAAAAAAAAAAAGAAATAGGATGTTGAAGAAAGGAGCAGAACCTTTTCTAGCCTGGAGGAGGCTCCGACCGATTAAAACCTTCGATTCAAAGACATCACCTGGAGCAAAAAAAAAAACACAACGAGTTAAAAACACAACTAGAGAACAAGAAGGAGAAGCAAGAGAGCGACGAAATTTGACAATGTCGCCGTGATTATGAATCTGAAGTACCTGAAATGGAAGTGGATGAAGAAGTACTGAAAAGCAGTGAGAGGAAGAAGAGAAGAAGCATTGAGAAGTTACAGAATGAACGATCGGAGACCATAATTCCGGCGAGCGAGCGAGAGAGAGAGAGAGAGAAGGTTCTTCTTCTTCTTCTTCTCCGACGAGCAGGTGAGAGACAGGCTGTTGAATAGAATTTCCCCTTAGAATATGTTTTTGTATTTTATTTTATTTTTTAATTTCCACGTCTGAAGTAATAAATAAATAAATAAATATATAGTGTGTAATGGACGGGATACAGCTAAACGCGGAAACTGGGTCACCGAATCGAACCGGTTCGGTTCATGTGGGTTACCCACCTTTTTTTTTTAATTTTAAAAAAACCAAAATAATTTTCTAATATTAAATATTCATTTTAATTTTAATGTTCAAATTATTATACATTTATTATCCTTAAAAAATTATTAAAAAATATAAATAGACGGAACGAAATGAAAATCATAATTATTAACAAATAGAACACAATTTTAAGGTGGATCCGTTAATGATAGATATATGAGTAATTGACTTATTAACACAGATCTATCACCGTTAAATTTATTAGATAGATTTAACAGTTGTCGAAGTTTATTAGTAACAGATCTATTATTGATTAAGGACCATCACTGATAGAGGTGTCATTGATTGTTTGCTGGCTTAAATTAATTAAAAAAAAATACGTATAAACTTTTAAAATTTTAAATAACATTCTTTAATTTTTAAAAAATATTTAATTTTAAAAACACCTTTAAATTTTAAAAGGTTTAATATTTTTAAAAAGTTGAAAAATATCATTAACATTATTTTAAAAAAAAGCCTTTTAAAAATTCAATAATAAACATAGAAATAGACTATTAATAGACATAAAAATAGTTTGTTAGTAATAAAAAGGTTAACCAAATAGTGGATTAGTGATAGACATACATCACCCATATATTTAGATTTTGAATTCGATAATTGATGACTATGATACTTTCCTACAATATAATTACTTTCTTTATTCGAGGTTTTTTAGCATGGATCATTCATATCAGGTTTCGAAATTTGGATTTGATACTTGATGACCCCGACATTTTCCTACGATATGATTAAGTTACTTACATCTCGTTCCTTAATAGTGAAAACTATTCCCATATACCAACATGAGTATTTCCGGCATGCTTGAAAAATTTTCAAGAGGTCACCCAAGTAAAGCACGTTTAACCGTAGAGTTCATATAATTAAGTTATCTAAAAAGAAGGTACACATTGTTAGTATAGATAGTAACACTCAATTATTTTAAGTCTTTCTTAGTCATTATATCTTTAAAATCGTTTTCATTCAGATGTAGTTTCGGTTAATTCATGCACTCCTTTACTTCGGTGTTACAGTACATCAAAACATGTCTTGAATCATTCAAAATCACTTTTAAACATATTATTAAAATTGTAAATTCAAATATAAAAATAATTATATGAAAATTCTAAAACATAAATGTTTTTTTTTTTTTTTTTTTTGCTAAAATCACTATTTCTAAAACTAAATTATTAAATGGTAGAAAAACCTATTGTCGCTTTTTCTTTTAAAAAAAAATGGTTATTTTGAAACTAATTAGGAAAATATGATATTTTATTCACTTTTTATAGGTGTCTTTTTAGGGTGGGTATTTATTTATTTATTTATTTTTAGTAATTAACTTTTTAGAATAAGAATTCCAGAAATCCAAATCCAAATAGATTTTGGGAGTGATGGGATTAAAAAGGTAATTTTTACTAAATTTATTATTTTTCCAAAAATTACGAAAAATAGAGAAAAGACAACCAAATACAAAACTCCAGCTCCCTATTTTTATTCTCACATTTTTCTCTAATTAGATATATTTGAAAACCTACCATCAAAATGGATACTATAAGTAGTTTTCGAAGTAATATATATGAGTTGGGAGGAGAACAAAACACTCTTTATAAGAGTATGGTTCCCTTAACAGGCGCATTTTAAAGCATTGCGGGAAAGCTCGAAAGGGAAAAGTCCAAAGAGGACAATATTTGCTAACGATAGATCTGGGCCGTTACAAATGGTATCAAAGTCAGACACTGAATGATGTGCTAGCCTTCTTGCCCTTCTCCAAAGGGGGTAGACACGAGGTGGTGTGCCAGTAAAGATGCTGGCCCCAAAGAGGGGTGGATTTGGTGGGATCCCACATCGATTGGAGAAAGGAACGAGCGCTAGCAAGGACGCTGGGTCCCGAAAAGAGGTGGATGGTGATGTCCCACATTATTTGGGGATGAGAACAAAACATCCTAGCCATTTTAAAGCCTTGAGGGGGAAGCCCGAGAGAGAAAGTTCAAAGAGGACAATATCTGCCCGAGGTTGGTCTAGGTAGGCTGTTATAATATATATCTATATATATATATATAATGGGGGGGGGGGGGGAA